ACACATAATGTACACAACTCAGACTACACACAACTTAAACTACACACACAACGTACACAACTCAGACTACACACACAATGTACACAACTCAGACTACACACAACTTAAACTACACACACAACGTACACAACTCAGACTACACACACAACTTAAACTACACATAATGTACACAACTCAGACTACACACAACTTAAACTACACACACAATGTACACAACTCAGACTACACACAACTTAAACTACACATAATGTACACAACTCAGACTACACACAACTTAAACTACACACACAATGTACACAACTCAGACTACACACAACTCAGACTACACATAATGTACACAACTCAGACTACACACAACTTAAACTACACACACAACGCACACAACTCAGACTACACACACAATGTACACAACTCAGACTACACACACAATGTACACAACTCAGACTACACACACAATGTACACAACTCAGACTACACACTCAACTTAAACTACGCACACAATGTACACAACTCAGACTACACACTCAACTTAAACTACACACACAACGTACACAACTTAAACTCTACACACACAACGTACACAACACACACAACATACACAACTCAGACTACACACACAATGTACACAACTCAGACTACACACACAATGTACACAACTCAGACTACACACACAATGTACACAACTCAGACTACACACACAATGTACACAACTCAGACTACACACACAACGTACACAACACACACAACATACACAACTCAGACTACACACAACTTAAACTACACACACAACGTACACAACTTAAACTACACACACAACTTAAACTACACACACAATGTACACAACTCAGATGACACACACAACTTAAACTACACACACAATGTACACAACTCAGACGACACACACAACTCAAACTACACACACAACGTACACAACACACACAACACACACAACATACACAACTCAGACTACACACAACTTAAACTACACACACAACGTACACAACTTAAACTCTACACACACAACGTACACAACACACACAACATACACAACTCAGACTACACACAACTTAAACTACACACACAACGTACACAACTTAAACTACACACACAACTTAAAACTACACACAAACGTACACAACACACACAACGTACACAACTCAGACTACACACACAACGTACACAACTTAAACTACACACACAACGTACACAACACACACAACGTACACAACTCAGACTACACACAACTTTAACTACACACACAACGTACACAACTCAGACTACACACACAACGTACAAACTTAAACTACACACACAACGTACACAACACACACAACGTACACAACTCAGACTACACACAACTTAAACTACACACACAACGTACACAACTTAAACTACACACACAACGTACACAACTTAAACTACACACACAACGTACACAACTTAAACTACACACACAATGTACACAACTCAGACTACACACAACTTAAACTACACACACAATGTACACAACTCAGACTACACACAACTTAAACTACACACACAACTCAGACTACACACACAACTTAAACTACACATAATGTACACAACTCAGACTACACACAACTTAAACTACACACACAACGTACACAACTCAGACTACACACACAACTTAAACTACACATAATGTACACAACTCAGACTACACACAACTTAAACTACACACACAACGCACACAACTCAGACTACACACACAACGCACACAACTCAGACTACACACACAATGTACACAACTCAGACTACACACACAACTTAAACTACACACACAACTTAAACTACACATAATGTACACAACTCAGACTACACACACAACTTAAACTACACACACAACTTAAACTACACATAATGTACACAACTCAGACTACACACAACTTAAACTACACACACAATGTACACAACTCAGACTACACACAACTTAAACTACACATAATGTACACAACTCAGACTACACACAACTTAAACTACACACACAACGTACACAACTCAGACTACACACACAATGTACACAACTCAGACTACACACAACTTAAACTACACACACAACGTACACAACTCAGACTACACACACAACTTAAACTACACATAATGTACACAACTCAGACTACACACAACTTAAACTACACACACAATGTACACAACTCAGACTACACACAACTTAAACTACACATAATGTACACAACTCAGACTACACACAACTTAAACTACACACACAACGTACACAACTCAGACTACACACACAATGTACACAACTCAGACTACACACAACTTAAACTACACACACAACGCACACAACTCAGACTACACACACAATGTACACAACTCAGACTACACACACAATGTACACAACTCAGACTACACACACAATGTACACAACTCAGACTACACACACAACTTAAACTACACACACAATGTACACAACTCAGACTACACACTCAACTTAAACTACGCACACAATGTACACAACTCAGACTACACACTCAACTTAAACTACACACACAATGTACACAACTCAGACTACACACTCAACTTAAACTACACACACAATGTACACAACTCAGACTACACACAACTTAAACTACACACACAATGTACACAACTCAGACTACACACAACTTAAACTACACACACAACGTACACAACTTAAACTCTACACACACAACGTACACAACACACACAACATACACAACTCAGACTACACACACAATGTACACAACTCAGACTACACACACAATGTACACAACTCAGACTACACACACAATGTACACAACTCAGACTACACACACAATGTACACAACTCAGACTACACACACAATGTACACAACTCAGACTACACACACAACGTACACAACACACACAACATACACAACTCAGACTACACACAACTTAAACTACACACACAACGTACACAACTTAAACTACACACACAACTTAAACTACACACACAATGTACACAACTCAGATGACACACACAACTTAAACTACACACACAATGTACACAACTCAGACGACACACACAACATACACAACTCAGACTACACACAACTTAAACTACACACACAACGTACACAACTTAAACTCTACACACACAACGTACACAACACACACAACATACACAACTCAGACTACACACAACTTAAACTACACACACAACGTACACAACTTAAACTCTACACACACAACGTACACAACACACACAACATACACAACTCAGACTACACACAACTTAAACTACACACACAACGTACACAACTTAAACTACACACACAACTTAAACTACACACACAACGTACACAACACACACAACGTACACAACTCAGACTACACACACAACGTACACAACTTAAACTACACACACAACGTACACAACACACACAACGTACACAACTCAGACTACACACAACTTTAACTACACACACAACGTACACAACTCAGACTACACACACAACGTACACAACTTAAACTACACACACAACGTACACAACACACACAACGTACACAACTCAGACTACACACAACTTAAACTACACACACAACGTACACAACTTAAACTACACACACAACGTACACAACTTAAACTACACACACAACGTACACAACTTAAACTACACACACAACTTAAACTACACACACAATGTACACAACTCAGACTACACACAACTTAAACTACACACACAATGTACACAACTCAGACTACACACAACTTAAACTACACACACAACGTACACAACTTAAACTCTACACACACAACGTACACAACACACACAACATACACAACTCAGACTACACACACAATGTACACAACTCAGACTACACACACAATGTACACAACTCAGACTACACACACAATGTACACAACTCAGACTACACACACAATGTACACAACTCAGACTACACACACAATGTACACAACTCAGACTACACACACAACGTACACAACACACACAACATACACAACTCAGACTACACACAACTTAAACTACACACACAACGTACACAACTTAAACTACACACACAACTTAAACTACACACACAATGTACACAACTCAGATGACACACACAACTTAAACTACACACACAATGTACACAACTCAGACGACACACACAACATACACAACTCAGACTACACACAACTTAAACTACACACACAACGTACACAACTTAAACTCTACACACACAACGTACACAACACACACAACATACACAACTCAGACTACACACAACTTAAACTACACACACAACGTACACAACTTAAACTCTACACACACAACGTACACAACACACACAACATACACAACTCAGACTACACACAACTTAAACTACACACACAACGTACACAACTTAAACTACACACACAACTTAAACTACACACACAACGTACACAACACACACAACGTACACAACTCAGACTACACACACAACGTACACAACTTAAACTACACACACAACGTACACAACACACACAACGTACACAACTCAGACTACACACAACTTTAACTACACACACAACGTACACAACTCAGACTACACACACAACGTACACAACTTAAACTACACACACAACGTACACAACACACACAACGTACACAACTCAGACTACACACAACTTAAACTACACACACAACGTACACAACTTAAACTACACACACAACGTACACAACTTAAACTACACACACAACGTACACAACTTAAACTACACACACAACGTACACAACTTAAACTACACACACAACGTACACGATGACAACAACTTTGTGTTTTGCTCTTTCCTTCAGGAGGTTCAGTCGAGACAGGAAGTTGCAACGATAGGCTCACCTTCACCAACACTTCCTGCTGCTGTCAGGTAACCCTCCTCCTCCTCTTCTTTCTCCTCCCATTCCTCCTCCTCTTCCTCCTGTCCTCCTCTTCCTCCTCCTCTTCTTTCTCCTCCCATTCCTCCTCCTCTTCCTCCTGTCCTCCTCTTCCTCCTGTCCTCCTCTTCATCCCTCTCCTCCTCCTCTTCCTCTCCTCCTCTTCTTCCTCCTCCCTCTTCCTCCTCTTCCTTCTCCTCCCTCTTCCTCCTCTTCTTCCTCCTCCTCTTCCTCCTCTTCCTCCTCCTCCCTCTTCCTTCTCGTCCCTCTCCTCCTCTTCTTCCTCCTCCTCCCTCTTCCTCCTCCTCCCTCTTCCTCCCTCTTCCTTCTCGTCCCTCTCCTCCTCTTCTTCCTCCTCCTCCTCTTCCTTCTCCTCCTCTTCTTCCTCCTCCTCCCTCTTCCTCCTCCTCCCTCTTCCTCCCTCTTCCTTCTCGTCCCTCTCCTCCTCTTCTTCCTCCTCCTCCTCCTCCCTCTTCCTCCTCTTCCTCCTCCTCTTCTTCCTCCTCCTCCCTCCTCCTCCTCCTCCTCCTCTTCTTCCTCCTCCTCCCTCTTCCTCCCTCTTCCTTCTCGTCCCTCTCCTCCTCTTCTTCCTCCTCCTCCTCCTCCTCCTCTTCTTCCTCCTCCTCCCTCTTCCTTCTCCTCCCTCTTCCTCCTCCTCCCTCTTCCTCCTCTTCCTTCTCGTCCCTCTTCCTCCTCTTCCTCCTCCTCCCTCTTCCTTCTCGTCCCTCTCCTCCTCTTCCTCCTCCTCTTCCTTCTCGTCCCTCTCCTCCTCTTCCTCCTCCTCTTCCTTCTCGTCCCTCTCCTCCTCTTCTTCCTCCTCCTCTCAGATGTTATGTGTTGTGTTTTTGTCTCTAGCTCTCCCGGTGTCGGTGTGGACCGTCACTCCCATGATGCCTTGCTGGCGGAGGTGGCGAGGTTAGAGGCGGCTCTGGAGGACGTGAGGCGGGACGTGGAGGGTCTGTCTGCGTGTGGCGGCTGCAGAGAGATCGTCAGAATCCAGCAGACGGTGAGCGACACAGACTCTAGAGAGGAGGCGGCGTGCAGTACCCGTTTTAAACACTAGGGGTCAGAGATGTGTTTCTGTTTTCCCCAGTAAAGAACATCTGTCCCTCGTGTCCTCTGTCAGGTCTCTGCTCAGGTCTCCTCTCAGGTCCGTGAGGAGGTTCGGTCTCTGGTCTACGGTAACGGGCTGGCGTTGAGGGGCGGGGCCTCTGCAGACCTGCCCGTGTCTCTCCTGCAGTGGCTCTCTCAGCAGTACGTCAGCGAGGCCGACCTGCAGGGGGCGCTGGCCTCTCTGGAGCTGAGCATCCTGCAGAACATCAGCCTGCAGCTGAAACGGCGCGGCAGTGACGACACGCTCAGAGAGACCGTCCTGAACGCCGCTGGGGCCGCCGTGACCGAGGAGGTGAGGGAGGGTGGAGTCTGCAGGAGGAGAATGACCGTTAAAGTTCTTCTGGTGTTGTTGTGATGATAATAAAAATAATACTTTGTTATCATGGAACAAAAAGTGTTCTGATCTCCCGTCTCGCCTTCCTCGCCGCAGGACGTCAATGTGATCGTGACGAACGCTCTGCGGCTGTTTTCTCAGGACAGAACCGGCCTCGCCGACTACGCTCTGGAGTCTGGAGGTCAGAAACAAACGCTCTCTAAGTCTGCTGTTATCCACAAACCAAAAACACGTTGATTTAGCTCCTTTTTTTTTTTCACGCTTTTGTCCAAACTCAGTGACGTAGATCTGAGTGAGACACGATCAGCGACCAGAAACACGTCTGACTTCCTGTCTGCTCTGCTCTAAGCCCTCTGCCCCCCCCCAAGACTCCTGTTGGACTTATTTCAACCAATGAACTGTCTCTGTTCCTGTGTGACCTCACAGACACTTCTGTGTTGTCTATCTTGTTGTCTTGTTGTTGTTGTGTTTGTTGTCTTGTTGTTGTCTTGTTGTTGTTTCTGATGTCTTGTTGTCTTGTTTGTTGTCTTGTTGTGTTTGATGTCTTGTTTGATTTTTTGTTGTTTGTTATTGTGTTTGATGTCTTGTTGTTGTTTCTGATGTCTTGTTGTTGTTTCTGATGTCTTGTTTGTTGTCTTGTTGTTGTTTCTGTTGTCTTGTTTGTTGTGTTTGATGTCTTGCTGTCTTGTTGTGTTTGATGTCTTGTTGTTGTTGTCTTGTTTGTTGTGTTTGATGTCTTGTTTGTTGTTGTTGTTGTTTCTGATGTCTTGTTGTTGTTGTTGTTTCTGATGTCTTGTTGTTGTTGTGTTTGATGTCTTGTTTGTTGTCTTGTTGTTGTGTTTGATAGACTCTCAGGGGGAGCGTCCATCTTTAAAACCACCTCACATATAACATGAAGTTCATTATTTCCTCATCCAGCTGCTGAAGAAACCAGACTTTAAACTTGGTGAAACCTGATTTAGTAAATAACCCGTTTTAAAAACGTGAGATGTAAATGTAGCGGAGCTGCACACCTGACAGGTGTTTGTGTGTCCTCGTCCTGCAGGGGGCAGCATCCTGAGCACCCGCTGCTCTCAGACCTACGAGACGAAGGCCGCTCTGCTCAGCCTGTTCGGAGTTCCTCTCTGGTATTTCTCTCAGTCTCCACGAGTCGTTATCCAGGTAACACACCTGTCAATCACAAAGCCAGACACACTCAGCGAGCCGTTGTGCCGTCTCACCTTCACGTTGTACTCTGAGATGTTCCAGTTAAATGATTTAGAGGTCATCGTTGTGAACTGATGAATAATCCAGATGTGGTGATTTTGTGCTCCTGCAGCCAGATGTTCATCCAGGTAACTGCTGGGCCTTCAGAGGGTCTGCGGGCTTCCTGGTGATCCGGCTCTCCATGGGGGTCGTCCCAACCGCCTTCTCCCTCGAACACATCCCTAAAGCCCTGGCGCCGAGCGGGACGCTACGTAGCGCCCCCCGAGACTTCAGCGTCTACGTAAGACACAGAGAGAGAGAGAGGCCGTTTCCTGTTTAAGACTCACCTGTTGAAGACTCACCTATATGAAGTGACTCACCTGTGTGTTGTGTTCAGGGTCTGGACGATGAAGTTCAGGAGAGAGGGAAGCTGCTGGGAAAGTACACGTACGATGAAGACGGAGAATCCCTGCAGAGTTTTCCTGTTTCTGTGAGTACTGACGGCTCAGAGCTCCTTCTGTTTGTGCAGGTCGGACGCTCGGGGTACAGGTGACCACAAAGTCATGTGGACGCAGGAAGAGGGTCGTTGTTGGCGTCTCAGAAATGACAAAAACATCCACAGTTAGCAGGGAGGGGCTCAGCCTGCGAGTGGTTGCCATGGTTATACGTCTTTAATGGTTCATGAAACCATTAAAACAAAAAAGTGAAAAGTCACTTCCTGGTTTATCCGTCTTTCTTTTTTGTCTTGGGCAGGAGGAGAACGAGCAGGTGTTCCAGATCATCGAGGTCCAGGTGTTGTCAAACTGGGGTCATGAGGTGTACACGTGTCTGTACCGCTTCAGAGTGCACGGGACGCCGCAGCCGCCGCAGCCGCCGCAGCCGCAGACGTCTGACGAAGTCGCTGCAGAAAGCCAATCTCAATGACTCTAAAACAAAAAAAAAAAACTGTGGAGACGCAGAGATGGATGCGTTTGTTCACCTGCTGCTACCTGACCGACCTGTGCCTGACTGACCCCCCCCCTCAGGTCTCTGGTGGGGGGGGGAGGCGTCCTGCTCTCCTGTGGAGAGAGGAAGCATCGGATGTGATGACATAATCCTGTTCAAAGTTAATATTTTTATATCAGTGTTGTTTTCTAATCGCCGTTAAAGGTCCGTCATGTTTTAGCCTTTTTTCTTTATTTGGCACATTCCTACACAGCTGTTTGACTCGCCGCACGTCTGCACGTTAATGAAACTGAATTATTCCCCTCGTGTGTCCTCCTGGCTGTGAAGAGAGAGAGACTGGATTTCTTCACTCCTTCCACTTGAAGACGGTTCAGTCACTGCTGCAGCTGAAGAATTTAACAGATTCACCAAAAATCCTCAGTTTTCGTTTATTTTTTAAATTCTTTGTCGATAAATTCCTCTTCCTGTGTCAGCATGCGAGTATTTTTCAAGATTAATTTCCAAAGTTTTAACAGATTCTAACATTTTATATTTTGGATGACTGAAGAGTGAAGTAATCTCCACGGCAACAGTCTGACTCTTGAGTGTGCATCGTCTCTCACAGTGGCAGACTTTCAAAGTGTCCTTAAACGCCCCATCAGGCGGCGCCCGCTCACAGCTGTAGAAATGTACACAAACCTTTATTGACAAATGAATAAAATGACTCGTGAATACTTTTGCACTGAAGGACTCGGCTGCACTGACGTCTGTAAAACTTGCATGTTAATTTATTTCTTCAGGTTACTGGAAGATGAACTTATTTTTATAATTCTTTACGGGATGTTTTGAAATGTGTTGGGAACACTTTTTTTTTATGTGATGTTTGTGTGTTTTTTTTTGTATGTGATTTCAAAGTGAAGATAATAAAGATGAGATATTTGCAGTTTTTTAATAACTGAAGTAATGTCCGATGCTTTTATTTTGACAGAGTAATATTTCTAAAGAGGTTCTGTGTTCCTTCTGGGCTGTTCTTTTTGGAATGTATGTTATTGCCATGGTTAAAGAAACTGGGGATACCTCGCATATTCAGAAAAAATGATCAGCTGAGTCCAACACGGGCAAAAAAAAAAAAAGCCTTTCTACATCCAGAGCAAGCAGCCGTTTAAAATCCTGCAGTTCCTGGACTGTCCACTAGAGGCTGGCTGCAGAAGCACAGGAAGTCACATACAGAGTTATTCACAATAAGGCGTGTAGCTGACCTGATTGACAGGTGGGCGCGGTGTAACGGTTTGTCAGGAGGTTTAAAACCCGCCTCAGCTCCAGCTCTCAGCCTGTCGTTAGGTTGACTCAAAGTTAGACTGAGACAGCATTTCCAGCATGGAGACCGCCATCGATGGGACTCTAGCGCCCCCTGCAGGAACAGACGGGTGACTTTACAGTCTGTGTACCAGAGTTGAATTCTAAATTTTAAGTTTATCCTGCAACCATTAACACGGAATGAATCGGATAGTTAAGATTTTAACAGCAGTCCTTTGTTTTATTAAAGTATCAGTGTTACACAACAAAGTAAAATACAGACATAAATTCACTTTTCAGTCATTCACAGACAGGTAAACAATATTTAAGGTAAAGGTGTTTTCAGACCTGTAGATTGTTTGCTCTGGTCTGAATGATAGACCAGTCTGGTTCATTGTTGCATAATTACCTCAAGTTTGGTCTGTGTTCACAAGGGAACATTTACAAGCGGACTTGTTTGATGAGCAAGGAAAATGTTCTCCGATTAGTCAGGTGTAAACAAAGACTAGTCGCCTCCTGATTGGCTAGTGGCTGCTCCAGAGAAACTTTACAATCTTTAAATGGACAAACGACTTCACGGAGTGATGTCTGCTCTAGTCATTGGTTCTTAAATTGATTGCATTGATCGCTGTAGGCAAACGATACAGTTGATGACAATATCTTCAGGTTAAATAAGTCTCAGAGCTCCTCAAAACATGTGTGTGAAGTTTCTTGTTCTAAATCCACTCTGATCCTGTATTTGATCATGTCTATAAACCCCTCTATTTCAGCCCTGCTCAAAACAGGCTGTTTCTGTGTCTGTCCCTTTAAATATGTAAATGAGCTGTGTCTGACCACGCCCCCTCTCTGGAAGGACTTGGGTGTGCTCGGTCTTTCTCGCTCCATGTCCTATTGTTTACAGTGAGGAGGCAGACTCAGAGGGCAGAACAAACACCTAGCTGTGGGAGTGTCACCCACCTGGGGGAGGGGCTACTGCCCTTTGTGATGTCATGAAGGGAAAATCTCCAAACGGCCTGTTTGAGCACACATTTTCTGAAAAGTGGAGCAGGCAGAAGATGGAGAGGATGGACTTTTCTCATCATTGGGGGGTTTGTAGACGGATTAGTGACACATATTAGTGTTAGAGAAACATGGTGAAGAGGATTTTTATGATCTTTAAGTCTGATGGTGAAAGAGCTGCCATAGTGACAGTAAACTGTCCCTGAACTTCACCCTGTTTCCACCCACAGACACCAAAGTCTCTCCAGAACTTCTTTAAACAAGAGACACAAAAATAAAGAATGCAATTACTTCTTAATTCATTTTACAACGACTAAGTTTATGAGGAACGTCTGCAGAGCAGCAGAGGAAAGGAATAAAATACTAACGGACATAAATATAACTTAAAGGTGAAGTGCAGGCTGATCTTAATTTCACAAACCGACTGAAACAAACCTCAAGAAATAAAAATTGAAGCCAACTTGCAGTTTCTCCAGTGTCCACTTGAGTCTGTCTCCTGCAGTGAGTCAGTCCCCATAGATAGTTAAAAAACTTCACAGCAGAAATAAACATGTTTACAGCCTGGTACAAAAACAGTAAGGGCTGCATTTTTATACAACTCACCTGTGTACATTATATTAAGGCTTAAAGTGATGTAGAGTTAATTACTCGGTGTGGCCTCTCTGAGTGGCAGCTGGGAGCGGTCTGCTAGGTGTCACCTCGGCTAATTCAGTCACTGACCTTTAACCTCTGGGCCGTGTTTTTAGCCTTTTGGAGATTTGTTGATGTAAATATCAAATCATAATATCATCTTCTTAAAGCCACATTAGAACTTTATTTTATTTACATGTTAGCAACGATTAGCAGCTAATCTGAGTCTGTGGGAACCATACCAGATTCTTTAGTTTAGATGTAGAAAGTTAAGCTTTGAGCTCAACATTTGAAAACCCCTCGCTCCTCTCCAGCTTCCCTCTCTTGTCCTAATATGGTCACTTCTGGTTCAGGAAAACCAACACTGCAACAGCCTAGATGCTGATCTTCAGACGTCAAAGAAAGAAACCAGCGTCATGTCAAAGTGGTGATATTGATTCTCTATGCTGTCCATAGGGGGTGTGTCCAGACTTTTTGGACTGGGGTGGCCCAACTGGAACATTGACTTTGTGCAAGGGTGACCTAAAGATTGTGTGGGGCCCATGCCACCCCTGGCTATCCCCTGTGGACACGCCCCTGCCGTCCATAGTCTTGACTTTCTGCAAACAATCTGTGTAACTTTTTCAAACCGTAAAATCAACCTGTGATGGGCTTTTGGGGAACAACTTTTGATACTTTTTGCTAGAACATAGAACCTTATTACGTGTTTATTGAACTTTTTGGTCAACGTCGACCTGGTTAGGTTTGTTAAAATTCTTCTTCGACTCTGTATCATCTTTCCTGATACCAAGAAATTTCCATCGTTCAAACTCTTGAAGCCCCAGGAGAAGACACAATGCCAAATTTAATTGAGGGTACTTTAAATACGTAACAGATTAGGATTACAGATTAATTGGATCATCTGCTAGCCATTGAGGCATTGCTAGTCCTTAGCTAGCTACTTTGGCTCCTGAACAAGCAGGTGGTGAATTTATTAGTAGCTCGTTAGCCCCCGCCTGGTCACCACGCCAGTTATTAGCCGGTTTATTACTCGTCCAGTCAAAGATCCGGCTAACGTCCCACGCTGATGTTGCAGATCTTGCAGCTGGGGTCCTTCTTGGCGTTGACGGTGGACTGACTCATGAGCTGGTGTCCGCTGATCCTCGTCACCGTCCCAGAGTCCAATTCCACCGGCTCCGTGTAGATCACCTCCAAGATGACGTCCTGCGCGTGACGGAACGACAGCGAGCCGTCCTCTTCCTCGGTGCAGCTCAGGAAGCGGTTGTTGGATCTGTCGAGCGCCGGCAGAATCTCCTTACAGAAGACGTCTCCTTTGGAGCCGTCCGGAGCGAGGACCAGGATGACGTAGTGATACGACGTGTACATGCAGTAGAAATCCCCAAAGTAGATGTTGGTGCTCTGGTTGATGAGGACGTCTGCTTGGATCTGTGCAGAAACAAAAGATCAGATACATGACTGGGCATGTTCCTCAGAGGCCTACGACAAGTTCAAACATATTCTCCCCTCCTCTGCTTTCTGGAAGTGCTTGCTCTTGGTGGGATTAATGGTTTATAATTTTAAAAAGTTATGATCCAAACCTGTGTGACTTTGTAGAAACATTTTGCATCATTGTCATGGTGACAACAGACCAAACTGATAGATAGTCCAGATGCGTCTCTCCCAAACAATGTTTCTTCTTCTAGGCGATCCAGACATTTTCTATATTCAGGTTCCCAGTTGGACATGCCCAGACCCAAACCCCCAAAGGGATGCTCTCATAAGGATCCTAATCAGATGCTGAACCGACTCAACTGCACGTTGCAGCTCTACACACCAACCTACCTCCAGATGTCTGAGCTCCTCGCCTAATCTCTAAAGCGCACACCGCAGGAGTTTTAAAATCCTTCCCGATTTTGAACTCGGGCAGCATCATCACACACTTTAGGAGAATCTTAACAGATATTCTTCTCCATAATCTCCAACATGCTCACACTACAAGATGTGAAAATCTTGGCACATCACAGTCTACAGGATTTCCTTAAGATTATCGTGCCCGACAGAGGAACGCACCACCTCAGGTGACCTCATGGAAACAATGGAGCCGGCGGGTAAATGTGTGATTGTAATGCTCTGTGCAGAGAGGAAAACACAACAAAAAAATGTTTTTAAAAGTTTTGGGGTAAGAAATGTCTGGGGAGACGCGAACAACATGGGTTGTATTCTCTTCAGTGAGAGCTAGAGGTCAGATTGCATTACAGGTGTCCAGTGCAACTGTGCGGTTTGCATCCTCTACTCCACCACTGTCCACTTATTACTGTCCCCCCTCGTCTCTCTCGGTGATTGTAGTCACACCCCACTTCTGCCAGACACTTTTTAATGATGTAATAGTCAAGATTTTAAATTCTAAATATCAAACATGTTTGAAATAATTTGGGGCATCCCCGACGACCGTTAAGATTGGATCTTTGTACCACTCACACTACAAGATAGTCTGGGCAGAAAATCGGTTCCAAGCAGCCTTGAGTCGGGAGCGACCCTGCGATTGTCATGAAGGAAGAATCGGCCCTGATTATTATTAGGGGAAACTTTGGCCACATGTATTTGCAATCTCCTTTTCTAAGTCATTGCCCAAAGATCAGTACCATGGGGGTATATTTTTGGGGTGGCAGTAGCTCAGTCCTTAGGGACTTGGGTTAGGAACTGGAGGGTCGCAGGTAAAAGTCCCGGTGCGGACCAAATCTGGAAGTTGGTCTGGTAGCTGGAGAGGTGCCAGGTCACTTCCCGAGCACTGTCGAGGGGCCCTTGAGCAAGTTCACTGTCCCCGTGAACCAAAAGACGATGAATAAGACGCCCCTTTGGTACCTATTACTATCTAGAAGCTGGCTGCGTTCTATGTTCCACTGCAACAAATAAACCTGTATTAAATGCTGAGACTGATACTTGGATATAGCTCCTCTTTATGACTCTACCTGGAAGCGGAATGGTCCATATGGGGAGTCCTGGGGGGGTTTTCCTGTGTTGAACTCCGTGTTGCAGCTGAAGAAGAGTCCCTCCAGTTTACCGCTGATTGGCGAGCCGTGGCTGCCGCTGTCGTCTTTGACCGCCGGCAACATCTGGCAGCACTGAGCGTCTCTGGAGCGATAAGATGAACTGTGGAGGGAACACAGGATGGGTTAAAACAAAGACAGACGACATGAGCTTCTGCAGAATGATCAGGACACTTAAACACACCTGGGCTGCTCGAAGTACTCCTGCTCTTGGTTTCTGTAGAAGACGGTGAACGGCAGCATTCTGCCGGCGGTCGCCTCAGCTTTCTGCAGCAGCTGCATCAGATGGACAGTGGAGTAATCTGCACACACACACACACTGTGACTCCTTTGGTCAGGGACACATACTGACTGAGATAATCACCAATGAATGAGAAGTATAGACGGCTTGCTGATGGATTAATGGTTGTCTGACCTGCCGTGCAGAACTCGATGATCTCGCTCCACTGAGAGACGGCGTATTCTCCATCTGGCTGCTTGGTGGCTGTCTGGACAGCAATGCTGTACTCAGTACGAGGACTCAGGAACCAGTGACCTCTCACCGTCATGGGCAGAGGAACCGCCTTAGCCACCAGCTTCGTCGGTACGTCCTGAAAAACAAAATCCCCTTTCAGATTGCAATTCAGCAACAGGAAAGGAATTAAGCTAGTCATGTTGCGACTTAATGCAGACGGGGCTGGAAGGGGGCTGGAAGGAAAACTTCTGGATAAAGTCGGGGGGAAAAATTTGGTCAGTTTTCTCATGCAGCTCACATCAAAGATGTAGGGAAATTTACTGGAGCATCATAACTCCACCGCTAACTTCCTGTAAATGATCAAATATCAACGTGCAAAGCTGCAAACATCTCGTCCACACTGCAGACATTTTGATGATGATTCCCTGAAACTTTCAGGACATCAAGATCCGGGTATTTTCTGGAGTTGCCTTTTAAACGTCCCTCACAGCGGGAGAATATCTGTCTAGGTTCTAGGGGAGGGTTTGAACTCTGTGCACACCTTGTGTTTGAACTGGTTCTCCTTCTTGCTGTCCTTCTTGTTGAGGTCGATAAAGTAGTGAGTGATCCTCTCTCTGCCTCTGCTCTCCATCTCCCAGCTGATCTTGAACGAGTCACAGGTGATGTTGCTGATTTGGATCTGCTGAGGAACCGGCAGGTCGTCCACGTCCCCGATACCGCTGTCTGCAGACTCTGTGCCTGAAAGGAAAGACAGGTACAGCTATAGATGGATTATCATGACCTCAGGCCCTGGACACAAACTCACCTTGGACCCCTACTTACAAATGCAAAAATTACACTTGCACTTCATGTGTCCTGCTTCGTCCTGAATGCTCTGGATTTGTTTGGACCAGAGAAGGTAGGCGCTTTTAAGACCCCCCCACACGGCCGTTTTGGACGCCCCTCGGTTTGTCAGATATGAGAGCAGTTATCAGGTCAACAGGTGTTGCAGTGATGGAAGCGGTCAAGAGAAGTGGTTCAGATAGAAGTGATTGTACCCGACCTAAAAAGCCTCTGCATGTTTCTAATAAGCTCCACGAGCAGAAACGTGCTCAAACTAGGATCAATATTGGAGATGCTTTTGAAAAATGGAGAGAGGTTAGAACACAGAAAGGTTTACAGACCCATGCAGAGCTGGATAAACACTGAAGCTTCAGAGTCCACCACATGGTGACCTGAGTGAGCATCCACTCTAGAGAGGGGGGAGGGGAGACAGCTCTCTACAACGATTAGAATTTGGACTGCAGTACCCATTTTAAACACACTTACTGTTTGAGATGATACCTTTTTTTTTATATAATAATCCTCGTAACAAAATTTGAAATTGTCAGCTGGAAACGAGCCTGTCACTCTTCACACCGCCCCTGATTGTGATTCAGATTAACCCCAAAGTGTCTACTAGTACCTTGGGGCGTCCAAAACGGCCGGGTGGGGGGTGCCTTAAAACCGCCTACCTTCTCTGGTCCAATCAAATCCTGAGCATTCAGGACCAGAATCACTAGTATCTACAGTTGTAGAGATTTTTGTCCAAGACGACCCTCTGACCATGAAAACGTCTGTGCAGACTTTGAACATCAGGATCACATTGTGCACATCTGCAGCACGAGTATCCTGTTTTTTTTAACTCCAGGATATGATTTAAATATGGAATATTATTAATCACTGAATAACAGCGGAGCACGGAGAGGATGTTGGAGTAAACGTATCGACCGTCTCTGCAGCAGATCAAAGATTAGGAGGAAAAACATTCGCTGGAAAAATCTCCACTTTCATTTTGTCTGAGCGACGAGATCACTGATGATGTAAGAAGATTATGTCAGAGTCACGCTTTACTCTGTGTGTGTGAGTGTGTGTGTGTGTGTGTGTGGGTGTGTGCGTGCGTGTGCGTGTGCGTGTGCGTGTGCGAGTGCGAGTGCGAGTGCGTGTGCGTGTGCGTATGCGCGTGCGCGTGTGAGTGTGTGTGTGTGCGTGCGTGTGTGTGAGAGGGATTAACCTCGGAGCACATTGACCCTGACTCACATTCCTCAGATTCATGTCACAAAACATCAAATAAAGGAAGAGCTAAATCTGCAGAGTGTTTTATTTTGATCATCAGGGATGTTAACGTGTCGATCCCAGGCAGTAACCTCCGCTGTTGAACAATGAAGCCGATGCGGAAGAGCAAAATCCTGCAGTTCGTCGAGTGTCCACTAGAGGCTGGCAACAAAACATCAGTTCTGCTATAGTCAAACAACTTAAATAAACCGGGAGCAAAGTATGATAGGCAGTATAAAACATAAAAACACAACATTCACAACATGTACAGTGCAGGTATGAAACTCGTTAATTTTGTACGTCAGCTTTTGTCCTCCATAGATTCCAACACCGTAGGATTTGTTTCTTCCATTCTGCTCTGTATCTGAATCGAACTTGTTTACCCTCTCTGTGTTCGTCTCCCCTTCTCTCTCTCTCTCTCTGTCTCTCTCCCTTCTCTCTCTCTGTCTCCCCTTCTCTCTCTCCCTCTCTCTCTCTCCTCTCTCCCTCTCTGTCTCTCTATCTCTCCCCCTCTCTCTCTCCCCCCTTCTCTCTCCCCTCTCTCTCCTCTCTCTCTCTCCCTCTCTCTCTCCCCTCTCTCTCTCTCTCCCTCTCTCTCTCTCCCCTCTCTCTCTCTCTCTTCCTCTCTCTCTCTCTCTCTCCCCTCTCTCCCTCTCTCTCCCCTTCTCTCTCTCTTTCTCTCTCTCCCCTTCTCTCTCTCCCTCTCTCTCCTTTTCTCTCTCTCTCTCTCTCCCTCTCTCTCTCCCTTCTCTCTCTCCCCCTCTCTCTCCCTCTCTCTCTCTCCTCTCTCTCCCTCTCTCTCCCTTCTCTCTCTCTCTCTCCCTCTCTCTCCCCTTCTCTCTCTCTCTCCCCTCTCTCTCTCTCTCTCTCTCTCTCTCTCTCCCCCCTCCTCTCTCCAGAGGACAAAAGGCTTCAGAGAGTTTTCAGACTCAACAAGGAGGCTTTGAATGGAGGAGAACGGGGACGGTTCAATCCGCCAGCATGACGTCTTGTTACGACTCACATCTGATGTTTGTCAGCGTGTGAGGAGAGGCTGATCAGAGCTCAACATCAGTCAGGGCCGTCCTGTTTTATAAAATACAAACAGCTATGAGGGGTTTTTTATGTTGATTTTGGCGCCCCCTGTGGGCAGAAGCGGTATGTTCATGTGTCTTCCAGGAGCCATGAGCTCCTAACTTAGCTTGAAAAATCCTAGCAAGGATTTTTAACTTCAGAGTAATTTAGGAACAACCCTAACCCTAACCCTTATCTTAGTGAGGAGGCGTGGTCGACACACATTTTGTTATCCTCAATCAGTGATTGGATGCACCTGTGGAGGTAACCACAACATGCATGTCTCACTTTGTACTGAACAAAGTGAGAGATGGATTGAAATGCCTGAACTTTAAGGGGAAATTCTTAGAAATGTCCTGACACAAAGAATTTTTTTTTAGACTTTTGTTACTAGTAGCAACTCTAGAAAGCTTTGTGAATATGGCCCCTGATCTTCATCTGTCCAGTAGTGCATTCACACTTAAACATGAAATGGTAGTTTATCTAAAGGGATGAGTCTCAGTCTCGTGTTTATCCATTTTTACTGCTGGGAATGCTGGGAAATATTTTAACAGTTTTCATCAAAGCTTCACGGAGAGATAAATTCAAAATATGTAAAACACAGACTCAACTTTTCCCCTTCAAGCTTTTGTTAAACTGATTTAATTCCAGGTCAAACAAAAGGAGGAGGTCGATGAAGCGGAGAGCTTTTTCTCACATTTGAGGAGAACGAGAAAAATCGTCTTTTCTCTCAAGCTGATAGAGTTACAAGGACGTTGCTTTATTCCACAAAACCCACAACTTAAAAAGCCCCTGCAGGAGAAGCACAAACAGTTCCTTCCCCTCCTCGTCCCTCCATCCTGTCAGTGAATGGAGGAGGTGAAGCGTCCATTCATTCACCCTGAGAAGGTGATTATCCACAGTGATGAGCTGAGACTGAAGATTCAGCAGACCGGAGCTGCTGCCAGGGTTCATTCACAAAAACAGATAAAAAACACCCTGACAAACAGCAGGACAGAACCCTGCTCACCTGTTCAGATCTGTTACCTATAGACTCATCGCTTCATGTTTTTACACACCAACATAAACTAAGTCATATCTGCTGTATACTGGAATCCAGTTTTACAGCTTTCTTAAAGGTTAAATGTGCAACATTCTCAACATTACAGGCTAATCAGTGAGATGTGTAGAGAGTGAGATGATAAAGGTATCTTACTCTCTGATCATTAAGGAAACATGCTATGTTGAAGTGCTGGCTTCTCTGACAACAATGCAGCAGCCAGTATGTCCTCCTTCTAACTTTACATTCTGCTCCTGAATGCTCTGGATTTGTTTGGACCAGAGAAGGTAGGCGCTTTTAAGACCCCCCACACGGCTGTTTTGGACGCCCCTGGGTTTGTCATGAGAGCAGTTATCAGGTCAACAGGTGTTGCAGCGATGGAAGCGGGCAAGAGAAGTGGTTCAGATAGAAGTGATTGTACCCGACCTAAAAAGCCTCTGCATGTTTCTAATAAGCTCCACGAGCAGAAACGTGCTCAAACTAGGATCAATATTGGAGATGCTTTTGAAAAATGGAGAGAGGTTAGAACACAGAAAGGTTTACAGACCCATGCAGAGCTGGATAAACACTGAAGCTTCAGAGTCCACCACATGGTGACCTGAGTGAGAGGGGGGGGGGAGACAGCTCTCTATGATGTTTAGAATTTGGACTGCAGTACCTATTTGAAACACTAGGGGTCAGAGCTTGTGCAAAGCATGTTTCCTTAATGTCTGATGATATATATAAGGTCATTTTATCATTTACTTCAACAGATCTCACTGTTGGACCTTTAATACAAATAAAAAGAAAGTGATAACATATTGTCTAATAACTTGAAGCACAAAGCACATTAAGGAAGAGAGCTCTAAATTGAGACTTCAGAATAAAAGCTCACCTTAGTGGTGCTAACTGTGTTCTTTCTCATTTCAAAGACAACAAAGTAAACATTTCAGCAGTTCTTCTGGAGCAGCCCTGGCTGAATGACTTCCTGTTTACCTGACAGGTGAGCACTCTCTCGCTCTGCTCTGTTAGTCTCATTTACATTCGCATTCAAATCACAGCAGACAAACATCGTCTGTCGGCAGCTTCCCATCAACCAGCCGGTGTGACATGAAGTCAACAAACTGAACCTGGCGTAAAAAAAATGTATGCTGACCTTGTAACTGAAGTGAGGTTTTAACATTTCAGGCTGGAATTTACAAGCTTTACTATCATAACTTACACAGGTGTAAACTTCAGTTTACAAAGTCCTCTGGGGGGGAAAGGGAAGTTATCAGTAAAACTATAAAAATCAAATCTAAAACCCTGTAAATGAAAAGACCATGAAGCAGGGGTCATACTTTCACCCAGAGCATATAGTTTAAGTCCTGTTTAGCTAGCTGAAGTTAGCATCCACCTTAATATTGCAGTAATAATGATTAGGCTACAGACCTTGCAAACCAAGCTAACGGCTTTGTTGATGACGCAGGGTCTGATTCCCTAGGATTGGATTGCCACCGCTAGCTCCTTAAATTAACATCATTGTCTCCCTCTATCTGCTCCGACTCAAGGTCTAAGTCACATAACATATAGTGCTAATGATATTCATCCTTAAACACTCTAAAGGGGTCATGATCAGTGCAGTTTGCACTTGTTTAGTGTCTGTCTGTTCCTCTGCACTCTCACGCTGATGGAGCTCAGTATAACCTCTAACTGTGTTGCCTCTGTTTCTTAACTATTGTATTTATTTACTGTCCTTTCTATGTTGTTTGCTCATTTCGGGCTGTATGTATGTGTGTGTTTTACTGCTGACTGCAAAACAAATTGCCCTCTAGCAGGGATAATAAAGACAACCTTGAACCTTGAACCTTATAAATACAGCGGCGCAGTTACCACCAACTCTCAGCACACGCTAATTTTTCACTTTAACTGTGCGTAGCTGTTAGCACACGTGTTCGGAATTAGACATTAGATTTGCATGGATTGGGGTCTTCCCCAAATTATGGCATGATGGATCGTTTAAAAAAGCACAAAAAGCACCGACGCACTGATGCGCTGTTTGCTGTTGTTTAGCGGGCTGAAAAGCTGCGTACTCCCTTTTTGAATCAGGCCCTCTGTGTTTGCAAACCCCTCGCTCCTCTTAAGCTCCAAACCTTTGTTCAAATATGGTCACTTCCTGCTCCTAAAATAATACTTTCAAATATTACGAAATGAGTTATGCAAACACGCTACGACTTTAAACATTAGTATGTCATTCATAACCTGTTTTAATAAAACCAGCAGCTTGTGGTGTCATTTTTTCAGAGACATGCAGGAACATGAATCTTTCCCGAGAATGATAATCCTTCACTTCCTCTGTTCGAGCTCATCCTAATGCTAATCTCTGCTGATCTACTGCAGAGTCCGTTAGCTACTGCTCCTCTTGGAGCTAACACGCAGATCATCCTCACCGGCCGTGCTTCAGATTGTAAGTACACTCAAAGAATTCTAGGTGCTGAGTGGACGTTCATCCAGAACCAGCAAATATCACCATAAAGATAAAACATACATCTCTGCAAATAAAATGAACAAAAAAAACTGTTGAGACACCTTTTGGATATCTGTTAGAGAGGTCCAAACAGACCCCTCTAATAACAGCTTATTGCAACAAGTAGCCCCAAAAGTAAAAATACTTAGCTTGGTCCTTAACTGGCAACTCATTCATTTTGGACTTATCTCATCATTTTGGGTTTGTACACAGAGTAGAGACACATATTAGAGTTAGAGAAACATTGTGAAGTGTATTTTACATAATATGTGACCTTTAAAGTACAAAAAAACCATCCATGTGCTCTTTCAGTTGTTTCATTAACATTTAATAGTGTTGATATTTTGTCCCCCTGTGGCAGAAACTACTTGGGATTCGACAGAAACGCACAGCACCACGTTCATCATGAATAAAGATTCAGTTTCAGATGTTTGTGCGACTCTCTCACACCCAGAACCAGCAGAGCGCTCCTTGTTTCCTGCTCACTCTTGTTCCCCCTGAACGTCTCAATTGTCACTTAGGCAACATTCAGTTCCAACAGCACCACAAACGTCTCGTTTGCCTGCAGATTGTTTTATTTTTCTAGATTATAATTTTTTTAGGCATTTTGTGCCTTTTATTAGAGAGATAGGACTGTGGATAGAGCTGGAAATCAGGGAGAAAGAGAGTAGGGAAGGACATGCGGGAAAGGAGCCACAGGTCGGATTTGAACACGGGCCGTCCGCTTGGAGGACTACAGCCTCTGTACATGGGGCGCGCACTGTAACCACTGCACCACCAGCGCCCCTGCCTGCAGATGTTTCCCCTCTATAAGGCTGAGGCATGTTTCTTAATCATCTTCTGTGTTAATTACAGTCAGCAGATCAAACCTGACCTGTTTCAGTTGATGTGTGATTACGTTTTTATAAATGCTCGAGATAATAAACAGACCATCCTTGTGTACAGCTGATGTGGAGGGGGAGGGGCCACAGGTGGCACATGGATTTAAAGTCAAGTAGAGTTTGACATTTTGGCCATCTTAAACCGTTTTCATGTATGCACTCCTGAAAAAGGGCTGCTCCAACTCACAGCGGGTGGGGGGTGGGGGGGGTCTCCTGAGGCGAGGTTGACTAAGAAGAACGACCAGGAAGTAGTGGACTCAGCAGCAGAGTCCTCTATAGACGCTATAATGAGAATATTTGTCTTTCTATCAACGCTGCGTGTAGTTGAAGAGAATCTCAATGTGAAGTAAAGAGAGGAGAAGAACATCCTGGAGAACAGGAAACATGCAGCAGCAGGTTGATTAGAGCACTGAGATGGTAGAGGTGGCGTGCAGACAGTCTATGGTCGTGCAGCCATCACAGGGAATAAAGGTCACCACCCCCTCCCTCTGGCTCCTCCCACTGGCCCCTCCCACTGGCTCCAGGTGAATTCTCCTGATTATATCCTGCTGTGTTCTCACATCAGATCACTCTGACTTTCTGCAGAATAAATCCGAGGAGGCTGAACAACCAATCTTTTGAGACCAACATGAAGAGAGAGAGAGACGACAGAGGGGGCGAGTCTATGTGTCATACATTCCTTCTCTTGCGATAAATGAATTATAAAACCTGTCATTAATTAGATTAATTGTTTTTAATTGATTGGCAGCTGTTTGTTTACATCTGATCTGTTCAGCACATAACGAAACAAAAGATGATCAGCAGGGTCCTTTAGAGACTGACACACTGATCAGAATATGAAACACGGAGCAGGAAGATAAAACTGTCACTGTGAAGAAGAGTTAACAGATAGTGCTACAACTACACACACACACACACACACACACACACACACACACGCACAAACTCACACACGCATACACACACACACACACACACACACACGCACAAACTCACACACGCATACACACACACAAACTCACTTACACACAGTTTTGTACATTGTGAGGACACTCATTAACAAAAGACGTAAACTTAACGGGGACTTGTATTTTAAAACACACACACACACACACACACACACACACACACACACACACACACACACACACTGACCTTCCCTGTCACACAGCTGCAGGCTCTGGAGCTCCAAACTGGGACTGTTGAGGTGCGACTCCGTCATGTTCACGTCCTCTCACAAACACTGACACAGAGAGAAATGAGACTGAAACCATCCGTCCAACAGCTGTGAGGATCAACTACATCTGACTGCTGCTCCACTACACACACTCTCTCTCTCTTTCTCTCCCTCTCTCTCTCCCCTTGATCGTCCCATGATGTCACCATAGCAGAGAGAGAGATGTCTTTGAAGCAGCGATAGTTGTCATAAAACTACTATTTTTAAGTTAAATAATCTACATTATTTAAGGAACTAGGGGTGTCACAATACAACAAATTTAAAACTGATGTGATTTTAGTAAAATCAAAGAAATTTGTGCATAGTAGTCCTCAAAAAACAACACTTACACATGAGAGAAGGCATGCTGCTTTGTCCACGGGGGGGCGCCAAAATACACAAAAATCAAAGGCCCTCACATGAACTTTAAACCGAAAGCAGAATCTTTTCGCTTCTTGTAATTAAGTATTCTGGAATGCGTTTGTAGCACATTGTCCTCATTAAAAAGTAGAATCAGTAGCATTTTCTTTGTTTGTAAACACAAAATTCAAACTGGGCCCCTCCTGTTGGGCTCATCGCCACCAGAAGCACATGCCCACTGTGGGAGTTGGCATGTGCATTGACTGCCTGTAACTACACTGCAAGCTACCTGTGAATATTCCATTTGTTGTCATGGAAAATCTGATAATTTAACAAGCTGACACAAGCCAACCGCTGGTGTTTGGCAACTTCCTGTCGCACGTATGTAGCCTTCTGTGTAGGTGCATTGCTATGGCATAAATTTGATGCAGGAATATAAATCAGTTTTAACCCTATGCTGTATTCCGATAATCCACAAATTGATTCTCAGCTTGTTACAAAAAGGATTTAGACATTTTTTAAGTGCAGTGTTATGTTGACGTATCAATCAATCCACCTCGACCTAATTTTTCATTCTGGACGTGATATCTCCTGCCACCAGGGGGAGCTGTCACTTTAATGCAAACAGACGTGTCTTTTAATGCCTGGATGGTGAACGTGAAATCAGACAGAAAGGGGGAAAAAAATCAAATCTTGTAACAATTTTAAAATCCTGCTTCATTTAATCACATCAGTTTGTGTCGATGCTTTTTTAGCTTCCGTTCACGTGTTTTCATGTCTTTTGTTCTCCGGGGAAACAAAACGAGCTTCACATGAGAATAACGGACGCAGTGTTGATGTCATCATGTGTGGATTAAAACATAAAGTCAGCAGCAGGAGGAGGAGAGATTACAGGACGCACTGAAGTGAATTAAACCAGCGTTTATATAAGGAGATTAACCGCAGAGTGGAGCCAGGTCAACACACACACACACACACACACACACACACATACACACACACACACACACACACACACATGCACAGTTTTGTGCATCGTGAGGACCCTCTTTGACTCAATACATAAATTTAACGGGGACTTGTCGTATTTTAAAACCTGGGGCCTTCAATATGTTGCAGTTTTAATTACAAATGAGAAATCTATTCTCGAGTGATAGTTTTTCCTGCAGCAGTTAAATAGGCTGTAATGTCTGCAACATGATCCTTGATGAATCAAAGTGTGTCCACTAAAAGTTCTCCTGACAGCCTCAGATTGTTATTCTAAGTGTGTAACAACATTACAGAAAGAATCCCTGCAGAGATAGACCTTTTTGTTACAGAGGAAGATGACTTTTTAATCACAAGCTGACTACATTGATAAAGACTGTAATTTTACATCACAGAACACAGGAGTTGCTGATCTCCACCTGCCTGGATCTATTTGGGTTTGTGCAATCTAGGAACCCATTCTCAATCACCATCTGAAAGACGACATATTAATCTGGGAATGGTTGCAAATTTATCTGTGATCCCGAGAAAGCCAGCAGTTGGAAAAATTCAAAGCAAGACTTTCTTTTCTGTGCGGTGTTTCTGTCTGCAATGTAAACACCATCGTTTCATTGCCCATGACATCCCAGAGAACGTCGGTTCATCTGTTGAGTCCCAGTTCAAGAGTATAAGTTACACGGAGGCTTTACTTTGGATTACTTTACCAGTATGAGCCAGAAGTATTTGTTGCCAAAAAGCAACATCTTGATGCATTTTTGTACGTTTGTATAAAAATCGTATAAAATCAAACTTTGTCAGGTCTGCCATTAAGAGGAGAAGAAAACAAGTTTTAAACTGTTTGTTTGTTGAATGCAGGTCGGATTGATCCTTTCTGATGCGTTTCTGGTAGTCAGGGAATCTAAAGGCTGATTTGCTTTGTGACACAGACAAGCAGATTTCTTGCTCAAGGTAAAAAATCTTTATCTGGAACAGATTGTTAGCTGCACTTTTATGCAGATATCTGTTAATAAAGACAAACTACTACAAATATAAGGCCTGCTCAGCCTGGCAAATTTCCGTCTTTGTGCTCAGACCCCGACAAGTTTTCTCCATTAACACGATCTTCAGTTGTTTGAGGTTTGTCTTTGACCCTCTTCTCGTCATATTCACTCTTAGGTTTTGTATTTCTGGGTTGTGACACTTCTTGTATGGTGTGGGATTGTTTTAGTATTTTCCGTGTTAGCTGCAGAGGAGTAACAACGTCCACTCACAGCCATAACGTCCACTCACAGCCATAACTGAACTCATTATGTGACTTAATCACCTCTGACTCATCAATCAGTTTCCTGACTTTCAGAGCAAGAGTCTGTCATAAACACAACTCCAAAAGACTTTTTAAGGCCATCATCACAGAGTTTCACTTCTTCAAATTTACTAAACTATGTTCCTGTCTAAATGTTGATGAGTGAGGATTCCCTTTGTTCTTGGTTTAGCTACAACAAGACATCAGACTTCTGAGTGGTTTTACTGATTTCAGAGTTCATCACGAGTCCATCTTTGTACTAAAAGAACCTGGACAGAAAGACACAATGAAGACTTCCTCTCAGCTGTTAATTTATTATCAGAAAATAATGAGTCACATCTGGTTTTAAAACCTCAACAAAACTGGATTTAAAAAACCTTTTGACCATGTTTCAGGTCACTTTATGCATCTACTTCCACATTCTTAGATAGGCTGTTGTTTTATATCTTAAGAACATGAGTGAACATATGTTGTTGATCAGCTGGTTGGTCCTGCTGATCTACTGCAGAGGACGGATCTTCATGCTGATGCTCTTCAGAGAGTAGTTGTTGCCTTTCCAATGTTCCCACTCGACTCCCACAGCAAAGAGAGTGGCATCGGCCCCCCAGCGATAAACCCCGTTTGGATTTGCATCGAGACAGTTTATGTCATGGTGAGGTTTCTGTCAAAGTTGATGTTGAAAATCTGCAGTTTCGGGACTTTTTATAGTCTCTGAGCTGCGTTTCTACATTAAACATTAAAAAATTACTGAACAGCTGCTGTTTCACACCAACAAATATATCTGAACATATGTCCTTGATTACAGTTTCTGTAATCTCTGAACTTGCTGTTGTGCTGAGCAGAGACGGATCTCGTGGATTTTCTGTTTTCAAACCAAATAAAAACACATCAAAAGTAAAATGTGTTTAAAATGGTAAGATGTTTGTTTGTACAGAAATTCAGACACAGGAGACAACCGGCTCATAAGAGTTGAGATTGTTTCTTTATTTGGGAAAGATTACAGATCATCACAGATTATGAACCATCACACTTTATTTCAACAGTTTCCTTTAAGATATGAAACCCCTCCAGAATACCCACAATCCACTCTGCTCAACAAAGATTTGAGTGGATTCAGGTTCACACGTTTTTTGTTTCCAGGTCAATTATGGAGGCAAGGAGATTGCAAAATATCTCTATACAAATAGCTCGTGGATATCTCAGTGGTGTAAAAATAAGTTTAGTTTCTGAACTTTCGCCGCAAGAGTCCAAAAAACAACTCCCAAAGTATTTTTAAGGACATCATCACGAAGCTTTACTTCTTCAAATTTACTAAACTATGTTCCTGTTTAAATGTTGATGAGTGGGGGTTCCCTTTGTTATTGGTTTAGCTCAAACAAGACATCAGACATCTCAGGGGTTTTACTGATGATGTTCATCATCAGTCACATCTGGTTTTAAACCTAATAAAAAAATAGATTTAAAAACCTTTTGACCATCTTTCAGGTCACTTTATGCGTCTACTTCCACATTCTCAGATAGGTTGTTGTTTTATATCTTAAGAACATGAGTGAACATATGTTGTTGATCAGCTGGTTGGTCCTGGTGATCTACTGCACAGGACGGATCTTCATGCTGATGCTCTTCAGAGAGTAGTTGTTGCCTTTCCAATGTTCCCACTCGACTCCCACAGCATTGAGAGTGGCATCGGCCCCCCAGCGATAAACCCCGTTTGGATTTGCATCGAGACAGTTTATGTACCAGAACGCCCCCAAGAACGATTTGGCACAATTGTTGGGCCAGGTGTCCTGGTCTTTGTCGAAGGTGGAAAACTTCATTTCATTGTGAACAGCTAGAGAGTCTCCTACAGAAACACAACAAGAGTATTGTCAACACATCACTACTTTCGATGTTATTGCTGACCGACCACTAAAACAACCAGAAGTGTAACCACATTGTGTTTATCATTCAGGTCAATCCTAAAGCCCATCTTAGTGGCAAAAGCATCCCCAAAATATCAGAATATTTTGACTTCTGACTCACCTGCCCCTCCGTCAATGAATCCAGACACATGCAGTTTGTATCCGTACGTCTCAGGGTCGATGGAGAACGATGTGTAACGGGCAAACACTGTATTTCCACTGAAGTCCTCCATGTCGACCAGCAGCTCGTACTTCTTCCTCAGAGTCAGATGGAAGATATTCTCAAGACCTGAGAGCAACAACACACAGAAACATGTAGGACCTGATGAGAATAATAAATAATATCTAACAAGCTGTAATGACAGAGTGAGTGGACGAAAAGCCAGAGAGTCCAAAAGGGAGGAAGCCTTGTTATTCATTGTTATGAGTCCATCCTTCCTCTCAGGAGTAGCGTCTCTATTCTGAACTCTCTGTGAATGTCTGAGTTCCTCACCCTCTAAAGCTGAGCCCAGACACTCTGCAGAGGAAACTCCTTTAGTCTCCACAACCTTCAGTGACATCCATTTGTCTTCCCGACTAACAACAGTCTAATGTGACCACACTCTTCCTGTTTATTGAGTCACATTACATACACACAAACACAACATGCTGATGATTGTGATGTTAAAATGGTCCCTTGTTAATTTCTCACCGAGCCAGTACTCTCCAGCAGCATTTCCAAAGCCCATCTTGTAGTGGTCCCAGGGTCTGTAGAAGTTCACAGAGCCATCCATCCTCCTCTGGAACACCTGGGGGATGGGATGGGGGATGGGAGGTTAATTAGCTAATACGCAAGTGCAGTACTGTTATGTTTCTTAGTCAGTGCCACTAAGCTAGCTTTTAATGGTCAGTTTATACCTTAAATCCAAAACAACTGTTGATTATTCACACTGCGGTAATTTTCCTGTTGCCCTGATACTGAGAATATTTAGATTATTTGGAAAAAACACTCACCGTCCACCGTCCTCCCTCTGTGTTCATGTCACAGTACACCTGAACACAAACACACATTTTATTAAACACATCAACCACTGCTGGGGAATACCTTTCCTGTCAGAATAATAACGACTGTGTTTCTGTCAGAGATGATTTTACTGTCTCAAAAATATCTGCAGCCCAGAGAGGGGGAGGCGTACCAGACGGCAGACGTGGCTCCAATGGGGTAGATGGTGTACACTCCACTGGGCCGGCTGTTGTCACTATTATAGATGTCACTGCAGTCGATGGGCAGGGTGAGCTGACCGCTGATCAGCTGAGGAGCCAGGAGGAGGACGAAGATCGATACCAGCTGGAAATAAAAAACACATTTTCATCTTGATCTGCAATGTCTGACAAGTTTCTGGGTTCAAGGGGTGCTGGGGTCGGAGTTTTATTTAAGGTCCCATATTCTTCTTTTTCTGGTTTTATCTGCTCTTTAGTGTGTTTTCTAAGTGTCCTGTGCATGTTTAGACACATCTATGTGAAAAAATTCAAAGTTTGCGGAAACGCGGCTTCTCCTACCTCCTCCTGTTAGCTGTAGCATTAGCTGCATGTAACACTCGGTTCTAGCCCCCCTCGATAAAAATGTGTCAGTGTGACATCATTGTCAGTGTGAGATCACTGATCTAAGCCCATTGGCTCGTTGTGGCCCAGCAGCTCATGTTGAAATTTCCGAGACGCGTGCTGAGCAACTGACCAATAACGACAGAGCGGATCGGCAGACCAATCAGAGCAGACTTGGCCCACGTGGGGTCTAACAGTGTGGGCTCAACAGAGTGTAGCTGACGGACTCAGAGCGTAGAGGGAGCAAGGAGGAGCAGTTCATGAAAACAGACACTTTTTCAACTTTAGCTATTGTGAACGTACAAAAGTAGGAACATAGATTAAATATACGAACCCCAAAAAGGTGTTGGGGTGCTAATCATTCATGTGTTCATCACATGTGTTTGGTGCTACACGGTCTGAATGCTTCACAGCTTTAGCATTTTAGCTTATTAATAAATGCACTTTGGAGAATATGCTACAACTAGCCAAAAAATGTGTAATTACATGTATGTCAAAAAAAGGCTCATATACTAACTCATATGAGGGAATTATTTTTCTTCATCTTGCATCATAGCTTCAGAACTTTGTAATAAAGATAAAGTAATAACGAAGACAAAAAAAGTCAAACAATTGAAGTGAAAAATATTCCTTTTGAAAACCACTTATGACTGGTCAACCAGTGCAATAATTATATCTATGAAATCATGTTAAAAAACATTCTGTGTTAATAATGTTTTTCTAAAAACAAATGGGACCTGTCGTGAATGACTTACCACATATGTCAATGTAGCCAAATGCTCTTTAAAGGAACTTTTTTATTATAAAAAAACACAAAAAGAGACACATGAACTTAGTTACAAACGTACCGTCATGGTGAGGTTCCTGTCAAAGTTGATAATGGCGTCAGGACTCTGTTTTTATCTCTGAGCTGCGTATCTCCATTAAACATTAACAGCTGCTGATTCAAACCAACAAATCGATCTGAATACGTGTCCTTGAGTCTGTGTGTGTCTTTGGATTACAAAACATTGTTGTCTAGCGGTGAGCAGGGCTTTCAACACGCACTGGCTGTCGGTCAAACAGCCGACTGCTCACTTATAGACTGCCTGCTACTTCATTCCATTGAGGATTCTTATTAAAAAGAGTCTCTTCAAGAAACTTAGAAACTCATTTTGTGGGAAATAAGGTAGTTATGGGAGCAATGGGTAACTCTGACCCCTAGTGTTTAAAATGGGTACTGCAGTCCAAATTAGAAACATTGTCGAGAGCTGTCTCACCTGACCTGTGGGGGGGGACCACAGGTCAGATTCAATTCTGGGTCACCCGCTTGGATGACGATGGCCTCCGTACATGGGGTGTGCACACCAACCACTATGTCACCGGTGCCCCTTTTATGTCTATGCTTAACTGTATTGCCATGAAAGATGGCAAGCTGTGATTTGCTGGAGACCAACCTATAGCATGTCATGTTTACCGTCAAGAATTTACGATTCTGTAATCTCTGAACTTGCTGTTGTGCTGAGCAGAGATGGACCTTGTGGATTTTTCTGTTTTCAAACCAAATAAAAACACATCAAAAGTAAAATGTGTAAAATGGTAAGATGTTTGTTTGTACAGAGATTCAGACACGGAGACAACTGGCTCATAAGAGTTGAGATTGTTTCTTTATTTGGGAAAGATTACAGATCATTACAGATTATGAACCATCACACTTTATTTCAACAGTTTCCTTTAAGATATGAAACCCCTCCAGAATACCACAATCCACTCTGCTCAACAAAGAGTTGAGTTGATTCAGGTTCACACATTTCTTGTTTCCAGGTCAATTATGGAGGTAAGGAGATTGAAAAATATCTCTATACAAATAGCTCATGGATATCTCAGTGGTATAAAAATAAGTTCTAAGTGCTTCTCACACTTTAATACTGTCTCTGCTTCGGCGTGTTCACAGCTCGGATGTCAGCGTGTGGCGTCGACTGTAAAACTCTCCAGAAACACTCAAAGAAACATGAAGAAGAAACAAATATCAAGTCTGATGGGACAGTTTTCTGCACACATTTCTGCTTTTATCATGTGCACAACACAGCTCGCCCCCCCCCCCCCCCCCCCCCGCTTTCACTGCTAGGAAGAGCAGCTAATACATAGCATCGTGTTTGTCGCTTGAAAAAGGCGGATTGTGATTTTGAAAGGTTAACAGGAACAAACTGTATTCAAAGTTTGAAGAACTAAAAAATCCAGAAAGCTTCAGTGACCAAAAGGTTTCCGTCGTTTTGTCCTTTTCAAGATTTCACTGGCTGCTTGAACTTCTGCTAAAAAGTCAAAAATACACAGCGGTGCAGAACTTACATGCAGCTGTAAGACATTTGAAAAACAACTATAGAGATAAGACAGAGAAATTAACAAAAAGGATAAAATAAATCAATCTATTCAGTCGATTTAGGTCATGAGCATCCTTTAAAAAACAACTAGGATCATGAAAAATACCAGAAAATTCTTAAAAATATGATTTAAACATGAGTTCAAAACTTAAGCCAATCACAGGATGGGACTTTAACGATCACAGAAAAAATCACAGAAATTCAATTCAAACAGAAGAAGAAGAGCAGAGACAGATAATACGAGGAGAGGAAAACGTGACAGGAATTTATTGTGGGGCGACTGATGTGTCCAAGACCTTTTCAGGCAGCTTTTATTTTTTTTAAGTGTGACGAAATTTAAGTCCTCAGTCGTCCTGCAGACACCGAGCAACCAGCAGCATGGAGGAGCATTCACATTAAACTGTTTCTGCTTTTAAAGAAATAACTTCTAACTTTCATCATCATCAGGCTCATTCTTTTTTTTACCAATCAGAAAATGAACACTTTTAAATGGAAATAAGCAGTTTAGTGTGAATGTGCCTCCTGGTTTTTTGTGTTGGCTGTCCTAGAAAACGCCGTACCCGTCAGAGTGGCGCGTGGCCACAGCGAAGGCGGGGTATCCTTCGTAGGTGGTGTAGGCTGTCAGGTCCTGACCCAGAGACACGGCTTGCTTCAGCTGGGAGGCAACTGCAGACGACGCTGGGCTCGCCAGAGTGTAGCCTGAGGACAGACGAGACGGAAACACTTCATATACAACAGGACTCATTTTTAAAAAACAGCTGTTAGGGATTGACTCATTGAGGTCATTTCATCATTGTGAGAGATTGTTTGAAAAAGGTACTGAAGTCCAGATCCTAAACATTGTAGAGAGCTGTCCCCCCCTCTCCTCTCTAGAGTGGATGCTCACTCAGGTCACCATGTGGTGGACTCTGAAGCTTCAGTGTTTATCCAGCTCTGCATGGGTCTGTAAACCTTTCTGTGTTCTAACCTCTCTCCATTTTTCAAAAGCATCTCCAATATTGATCCTAGTTTGAGCACGTTTCTGCTCGTGGAGCTTATTAGAAACATGCAGAGGCTTTTTAGGTCGGGTACAATCACTTCTATCTGAACCACTTCTCTTGACCGCTTCCATCACTGCAACGCCTGTTGGTTTGACCTGATAACTGCTCTCATATCTGACAAACCGAGGGGTGTCCAAAACGGCCGTGTGGGGTCCAAACAAATCCAGAGCATTCAGGAGCAGAATCTAAAGTTAGAAGGAGGACATACTGGCTGCTGCATTGTGTGTGTGTGTGGTGTGTGTGTGGTGGGGGGGAGAGGGGTTTTGTTAGCAGGTTTGTAGAGTGAAGAGTTAGTCAGTTTTGGGTACGGACCTTCACATACCTTGGAAGGCTACTGAGGCCACAGCGGCAGCAGTAGCGTCCGCGGCGCTCTCTGTCTGCAGGCCGAGTGTCTGCAGCGTGTGCTCAGCGGCGTGCACTTTAGCTTCCTCGACAGCCGCACACAGCTTAGCAGGGGTGAAGGGATGGCTACAGAGACAGAGACCAGATCTCAACATAATGAAGCAATACCTCATAACTCTGAAAATAATGTTAGCTTGCTGCTCCAACTGAACTGTGTCATTTTTTAAAATCAATAATTAATTTCTGTAAAATCAAAACATTTCAAAGCCAATCAAATTCGATGCAAACTGATCATGTAAATATCTTGTATGTTTGCTTTGTTACGACCAAGCAGCAAACTCTGGGGTTGGAAAATTATTGTACAGTAGATGTGCAAAAAGCTGCAGTTCCTTGAGTGTCCACTAGAGGCTGTCTCAAATGTGAGTCAGTCCCCATAGAGCCCCATGTTAAAATATCTAACTTTACAGCAGAAATAAACATGTCTCCAGAGCACATTTCTCTGTTCCTCTTTACATAATATTAAGGCTTACAGTGATGTAGAAAAATGGGGGCGTGGCCTCTTTGAGTGGCACCTGGGAGCTGCTAGCTGTCTACTAGGTGTCACCTTTGCTAATTCAGTCCCTGACCTTTAACCTCTTAGCCGTGTTTGTGCTGTTGGAGCCTTTTGGAGATTTGTTCCTGTAAATATCAGACTAATAATCTGTCTCTCTGTGAGCTTTATTGGAATAACAGACCGTCCAACAAGTCTGAGTTTAGGCTATTCAGGTAAATTGAATTCTAGTTCTATTGTCTTGAACATTTTTAGAACCTTAATAAAAAAAAGCTTGACGACAGTAAGATCAAACCTGACAGTTAAGCAGTATGGGTGGTAGTAGAAGGAGGCAGTCACGGTAATTGGAGTAGTGTTAGACGTAGCAGTTATATTAGCATCATCAGTTTCCTTACACGTTGGGGTACTGAGTCGCCAGAGCAGGTATGGTGATCTTATAGAGGAACAGTTGTCTCTGGTCCGGGCCGATGGCAGAGTGCAGCTGATAGACGGGTTGACCCCAGTTACTCTTCTGACACAACTCCTCCAGAACCTGAAGACCAGACGCACACACAGAAAAGACAAAAAGCAATTTAGAGTCAAACGGACCAGGAGTTAGGGCAGGGCTACCTGTGACTGACTAGCTGCTACCATTGATCACCTGTCACTCATGACAAAGATTCAAATTCATCCTGTGGTCCAAATATGATAACTTTTGCTTAACAAACCCCAGACAGTAACAGCTGCAATGTCCACAAACCATTGGTTCCCATCAAAATGGCGACTTCCACTTCTATTAAGTCTATGGTGAGAACCAGACAAACGGAGAAGCCGAAAACACAGCAGTAAAGAATGAAAGATTGAAAAATTATAATTAAGAAATGACACCATAAGATCTGTCTTTCAGTTATTCCCACTTTTAGTGGATAAAACTACAAAAATCCAATTACAGTTTTCATCCGCTCAAATGCTTCACCTGGTTCTCAGGTGTGTTCAGTTACCTGTGGTGCAGGTTTGATGGCGGCGGCCTTCAGGCTCATGGCAGCAGGGTTCATCGGGGTCAGCTCCATCCCGGGCAGCAGGTCGTACAGCTTCTCCTCCGCCTGCTTGTCCCCCTTCAGGCCGTAGGAGGCGCCACCGCTCCCACCTCGACCCACCGCTCCGACCCCGGAAGCGTAGGCCAGGTAGCCCCGCCCACCCAGCCCCCGCACCCCGGCAGCCCCTACAGGTACAGTCATGTAAATTTCTACAGGAGATCGAAAAGGGCAGTGAAATCAATCAAATCACCGGAAATCAACCGGGAAGAAGAATCAGAAAATCAGACAATTATCCAATCAGTGAACAGGTACAGTGGTAGCCATGGTAACAGAACTCCACCTTACATGAACCCAGCACTACAGGTGTCATCGTCTTTACATCATTCGAACAAGACTTTATGTTTGATTACCAATAAAGGGTCACTTTTGATTCAGTCGATCACATCTGATTTGTAGTTTCTGTCACAGCCAAAAAAGTAGAATATTTATCATTTTGGGGGAAATTGATTTGCAAAGTTCGTCTTGAGGACTTAAAGAACAGATCATAGAAATATATTGATTGATTAATTAATTGTTCTTGAAGCCCAAACCCCCCCAAGTGACTGTCTCCACTGTCATAAAGAGGGCACGACGTCAGTAACAACAAATAACCGGCGTTAATCAGAGAAATAAAACTCTTCTGTTCTGTTTAACTGATTTAAAAAAAAGATCTGATTATTTCATGATGCAGGGCGGAAACTAACACAGGCTCGGATGTGAACATTACAAGAGAGGGTTTTTCTCCAGTTAAAAGTACACCTCTTCCTCGTGTCTGCTGTGTGGTCTCTTTACTGAGGATGACCCCGTCAATCAGAACGCCAAGATATTTAACCATTTTTTAACGGCTCTTTGAAAGGAAAAGAGCCACAAGACCCGACTCCCTTCAATTCTCTAATGAGCCGTAAATCCCATCACTGTGTTAATCCCATCACATATTTTATATATATTTATATTTTATTTACTGTCTCTTTCAGTCCCTTGGCTCGTTATCTCTATTCTTAGATTTTATTTTGAAAGCTTAGGCTGTTGAATAATTGATGAAGTTTAAAAGGATAAAGGAGGTTAAGGCGAGATACGTTTTTGTTTATCGTCATTCTTACACCATTTTCCAACATGGACTAGTTTTTAAAAAAAGGACACATTACAGAAAGTATGCTCTCACTGTTGTAGACTTTGTTTGTCTGTATACAAACATTTTACCCTTTGATTGTTTGCATGCTACCTTGTTAGCTCACAATGCTAACGTTAGCTTACTTAAGATCCCACGAAAACGGAGTTTAATACACTCGTTAGTTTTATAACTTTGTGTTTCTAGTTTTATTAGGTCTAAAAAATATATTTTTATAACTGCTGAATCAAATTTAGATTGCTAATCTGTGATTGGAACGTTACAGGTTGGGGGAGGGGTTTAGCATAGGAGGATAGCATGTAGCTTTTCTCTGGATTTGCACTAAAGCATGTCATCTGTCAAACAAGATATTTGAGCAGCAATTTGTTGTCATTTTTATTATTGTATCACATGTGCAATGGGAGCTCAGACTTACACGTCAACAGATCGACTTACAGAAACCACAGCTGGACTTTTAATTGGTCGTAATCTTTTTGCCTTTTCGGCCTCTTTTGAAGCAGAGATTTTTGTCCGTGTGAGTTTGAGCTCTCCTCACAGCTTCATATTTTATCAACCAGCAGGTGGAGAAGATTCACATCCAGTTTCAAAGTGCATCCTCACCTCTGACAGATGGCGTCCTCATCAGGCCTCGACCTCCTATGTGAGCTTTGGCGGCGGCCGCCGCCGGCGGGAAGCGGAACTGCCCCGGTAAAGCAGCGTAGGCCTGGGGGGCGTAAAAGACAGGCGCACCGAGATACGCCGCTGAGGGGTCGTACACCTGGAGGGAGGGGTAAGAAAAGTTGAAGACTTTTTAGAGTTGACTCTGAATGAAACTGTGAAGTGTCTTTGAGGGTTTAGAAAAGCGCTATAGGAATAAAATGTATTATTATTAATGACTCACAACCAATTTCCTTTTATTATACAGTTGTAAACAGAGCAATGAAAACATAGAATCCACCACCACTGTTTGTTTGTTTGTTTTTTAAATTCTTCATTAATCCCAGAGGGAGAGTTCTGGTTTACACTCTGATATTGAGACACATACTTCTCATTCTCACACACATGGTGACCTGTGGACATGCATTAGTGGTGTCTGAGTGGCTGAAATTAAAGTATGTAAAAATGTCAGAGTTTACTTCCAGGTACAGTGGGGGTCCCCATTCGAGTATTTTGGGGACTTTTGGAACGCCTTTAACAAATAAACATAATGTACATGTATTTTTGTTTCCATTAATATCTTCCACTGCCTCTTTGCAGTGTAATGATGTAAACTGTCCACTAGATGGATCTGTTCACTACACTGACTCTAACCTGAACATCTCCCAAAGCATCAATTGAACTCCTGCGCTGTCAGGTTGGAAGTTAACCTTCAGGCTGCAGCTTCTCAAAAGATGAAGAGTGTTGAAGGTTATGTGAACACGGAGGCTGCTGAAACAGATAATTCACCTTCTACAGACCAACCGGGTAAAGACAGTTTGACCAATATGGTTAAAATGTGTTTAAAGATATCAGGGGTTAAATAATTGATCCTAATCCCTTCAGAAGTTGCAAATATTGAATCTCCCTATGTGTCTGTGATTTTCCATCCATTATCTTTACTGTTTGGGGTCATGGAGGGTGGGGGGCTGGAGCCAATCCCAGTTGTCATTTGGCGAGAGGCGGGGTTACACCCTGGACTGTTCGACCTGTCAATCACAGGGCTGACATATAGAGACAGACAACCAGCCACACTCACATTCACACCTACAGACAATTTAGAGTCAGCAGTTAACCTAACGAGCACCCACACATGCACGAGGAGAACATGCAGACTCCACACAGAGAGACTCCTGACAGACGGGGATTCAAACCTGGAACCTTCCGCTGTGAAGAAACGGGGATGCAGCACTAACCACTGCCCCATTGTGCTTTTTAAACTAATCATTATTAAAACGTGTTTGTCCCATTTAAAGGACTGATCCTTTAAATTGTTTTATTCAGTCCAAACCAACTTCCTTTTGAGGGATTAATAAAGTTGATTGAATTGATTTTGAATCTTAACTGAAATCTGTGTTCTCCACCTTCACTACCTCTGACTCCTGCAGGACTCACCTGAACTTGCATGGTGTCGTGGTTCGCGGTATGATGTACATTCAGGGGTCCTACCTGTCCCAGCGTGTAGGCAGCGTAGTCGGTCTGCAGCAGAGACCCTCCCCGTCCCCCGGTCCCTCTGGTGTATCGGACGTAACTGTCTTTGTCCACCGGCTTGGCCAGAGTCACTTCGATAGGTGAGCCGTCCACCAACTGGGGGGAGGGGCAACAGAAACCATAACACAGGTTTAGTTTTGTATAATTTCAGAGTTTAGATTTCCTTCTTTGTGTTATTTTGTCTCATTCTTCCCTGGTGTTGATTTTTCTCTATTTTAGTGTTTCCTGTTTTATTTTGTAATTTCTTATCCTCGTGTTTCTCTATGTCATTGGCTGTGTCCAAAACCACATACTGCCGACTGCCTTCTACATACTCAAAATGTAAATACTGCATTCTGCATTCTAACTGACCGTTAGCATGCTGTTAGTAGCATACTAAAATACGGGTCACACGACGTACTTCTCGTCCGAGCTCTGTTCAATTAGCTAGCATCTAGCTAACGCGACCGTCTGTCCGTAAATAGAACTCAACAACAATATGCAAACAATTATTACTACTACAGCTACGTCGTCATTTTTGGCAACATGTCAAATGTATTTCAGCACTTTTATGTTGTTGGCCGGCTGGCAAGCTCTGTGATTGGACAGTCTGAGAGCCGCAGTGCATAGTGCGCCGGCTTAGTATGTTTCCGTTTCATACTGATCTAGTAAACATCCTGGTATTTCACTGTGATCACAAATATGAACTTAAAAGCAAGAACTTGAGAAAGAAAAAGGTGAACTCTTTGACCTTTCCGTTGAGGGCGTTCATGGCGTTGATGGCGTCTTCTCTCTGAGTGAAATGGACGAAGGCATAGTCTCGGATCTTCTTCACTCGCTCCACAGCGCCTGAAACAGGAGATACAGATTAAACCTGGAAGTTTAATTTATTCTTGAAAGACGGTTCTGTTTCCCATTTTCCTCCCATTTAACTCAAGTTTTTAATATCGCTGTCAGCATTTACTTAAAATCGTTAATTGAATGCATTAATTTTTTAAATCCTGATTAATCTCCTGCTATTTTGTCCCTCTAGTTGCACCGTAGATAATTGCCTCAGTGTCTCCCTGTAGTCTCAGTGATGTAAAAGATGGACACTGCTGCGTCTTTGAATGTCTCATTTCACTTTAACAATTCATTTGCAAAGATGTGAAGGAAGATTTGAAGTACTCTCCAAAATGTAAGACTTCAGAGTTTATAATGTGGACTGTGTTGCATTCAGGTACCTGGTCTGATGTTGTTAAACTCCTTTTCGATGGTCTCCTCGGTGGTCTGCAGCATCAGGTTCCTGACATACAGTATCTTGACGGTTGCCATGGTATCCTCGTCCACCTCCACCTCAGGCTCTGCCCAGTCCACGGCTATTGCATGACCCCACAGCTGAATACGACCTGAGAGAGACCACAGGTACTGTATGTGTCCTTCTCTTGTTCCTGTCTTTTCATCTTTATTTATCTTACAGCTTGTTGATGTTGCATTTAAGTAACACTGGTAACATAGGAAATGGGAAACAAATTTACAAAGTTTGGCTCTTAGCTCAGATAATACATTTCTGTACAAACTGTCAAGCATAAAGAATTTGATTCAAAGCAGCTATGAGGATCTTTAAGTTTGTGTAGAATTTGGCGCCCCCTGTGGATAAAGTTGGTAGTCTTAATCAAGAGCTCTGGTAATCTGAATTTAGTTTAAAAGTCTGTATCTGAGTCTGGTCTATCCAATGAAGTTTTACTGTTAAAGATTCTGGACAACAGTAGGCTGGTTTCCCGATTCTGGATATAAGTTGAACCCTGGATTTAGAGGCCAACTTGAACCAACATGACTCAGCAGTTACAGTTTACTGTGTTTCATTTCAACTTTTAGTGAGTGTAGAAGTAATAAACTTCCATCTTATCAACAAGGCTGTCAGGTATAGCGTCAAGAAGGAGGATCGGTTCTTTATATTTTGTCTGAGAGTTTTTTTCTCCAATCCACTCAGTACTAAACCTGTTGAAGACGGTTCATACTGAAACGAACAGAAACAGGGAGGTTTAAGTGTGTTTATGGCTAGTTTTAATAGCTGTGGTCACTCCTATCATACAAAGTTTATCTTATCATCCCATCCCACCCACCAGAGCTCCACTTCCATTGGACTTCGTCCCAGTGACATGAGCTGTGATTGGCTGCTGATGATGTCGTCTCAGAGTCAGTCAGGAGACTTTGACATGTTTTTACGATGTTGTCTTTACTTTTACGAGGTGTTGATGATTTAAGGTAATGTTGGTACTTTAGCAGCTTTAAAATAACAGATCCATTACAAATCATCCCAGCATTAACCACAGGAAGCAAAAGATAACATCAGATTATTTCTATAAAAAAAAAAACTTTCAGTGACTGCCAACACTGCCATGCCCTTTTGCTAAACTCAAGATTTGAAAAAGTCTTAGTAGCCCAGATCTTTTCAACAAACTGGCCAGCTTGGATGAAGATCAGAGGAATGGTCTTGGAGGATCCTGTACAAAAACTGGGGCTGTCAAACGTTTATAAAAATCTTAATATTGATTCATGGCATTTTGAATTATAAGTTTGAAATTCCATTATTTCGCATTTCAGAATAAAAAAATGTAGGCTTTTATTTTGAATTTTTGTACTATCCTAAAGGCACAATATGTAGATTCTGCCGCCACGGGGTTCTCAATCAAAACATTAACAAAAGATGACGTTTATGCTGGTGGGGAATCATGTGAGTTCTCTCTGCTACTTCTACCTTTGCTGCCTTGGTATCAAAACAGGTTTCAGTATCCTCTGTCTTTTACCAGAATCATATTGAAGTTTAAAATTCAGGCCTCATCATAACCCTAACAAAGCTTTTTGCTGCACCAATTTCCCAATCTCTGTACTAAAATTATTAAACGTTTTGTGAGTTTTTGAGCACATTCACATTGCCTCATTTAAAGAATTTGAACGAAGAAAGTCAGAGAAGAAGAATTCCTTTACTCTTAATAGGGTCTTGTCACTGTTTCTTGTCACTAGTCCTTGGCCCATAAATATTCAGTGATGGGTATCTACCTGGTAGAAGTTTGCGACGGGCCATGGCGGCCGCTCTGTGGCTCTCGTACTCGACAAAGGCGAAGCCTCGGTTTTTGGATTTGTCAGCGGCGCTGGGGTACACGATGACATCCATGACCCCGTCAGTAACCTTCTTCATCTCAGACAAGATCTCCTCTCGCTTCTTAGTTTTAGGAATACCGCCCACAAACAGACGACAGTTATCCACACTGGCACAGACTCCGAGCAGGCGGCCATTTCTGCTCACACAACAAGAAACAAATGAAAGGAAAGCCATCATTGAATGATTAAACTTAGGTTGTTCAGTCACTGATAGATGGTTTAAATCATCTATCAGTGGTTGAAAGAAACAGCACTTTAGTATTTGTTTGGAATGAAAGTGAGTTAAGTTAACTATTGAAATGCAAATAATGGTTAGTTGCACTATCGCAGATGCTTTTTGTGTGAGTTGTTTTTTTAGAGTATTCTGCTGTGTTTGAGTCTGGAACATTTTGAAACTGTCACCTGATCTCATAGTTGTTGAGCTGCTTCATGGCTGCTTTCGCCTCCAGTTTGGTGCTGAAAGTGACAAAGGCGTAACCTCTGTTGTTCCCGTTAAAGTCCATCATCATCCTCACCTCGTAGATCTTACCGAACTGTAGACAGGATATGAGACCGGGCAAGAAGTGTGAGAAAGACATGCTAACTTTTGGAAACAAGATATTAAACTCTCCTCCTCCCTCCTTCTCACCTTCTCACACAGTGGGACCAGTTCATCTTCAAACAAATCTCTGGGTAGTTTCCCCACAAAGATCTCACTGCCTCTCTCTGGCGGTGGCCCATCCCAGCTTGGTGGTGGGCCACCGTACCGCCTCTGACCATTCTCCTGAAACACGTTCCCATATCATTAATAAATCCAGCATAATACACAATAATTATCCTAAAGATGCCAAGGCCCATTCTCTGGAAACTCAGTTGGCTAACTCAGCTTCTGTGCATTTAGATGAAAGACAGATGTTTCAGATAGATATGACTTTGTAAGTCAGAAATGTATTCAAGCAGTCCTCTACCTGCAGCAGTTGGTATCCTGTGCGCTGCATGAGCGCCCGCAGTGCCGTCTCCTTCTGCGTCCCCGCCAGTCCATCCCCGCTTGCTTTCTGATTGGATTCCATTGGGTGTGATTGACAGCGATACAAAAATCAGGTAAATTAGGGGTGCTCACTGTAAAAAAAAAAAACGAAAAAAAGACACCAGAAAAAAAGACAATGCAAAGGTTATTTTTTAAATTACTCCATTTTTTGGTCTCTTTATATGCAGACGATATTGTACTGTTTTTGAAAGATTCGCTAAAAATGTCTGAACATAACAAGCAGATTGTTGTGAAATTTACAGATCACTTCAGATCACCTGCTCCCAAACCGATTGACCTTGACTTAAATGGCCAGTGCTTAACTAACTATCCCCAACACTTTAACACACGAACGGCAATGTATTTTATGTAATTAAAGACACGTTATGTAGTGTTGTAGTATTGCAAATTGACCACTTTTTGAAGGTATTGTCTCGGATTCGAACGCATTTTTTCTCAGTATTGTCTCGTTCTCAGACTGGGCAGACTCCAGATTTTAAATCAAGACCAGTCAGGACCACCACAGATTGTCTATTTTTCCATATCATCAATGTGATAAGAAGGAAAACGCCTCTTTTGGGATTTCTTTCCCCCAGTTACGGACACAACCTTCCTGCTTTTTCGTTTGAAGTGAGTGATGGTTTTTTCAGTGTTATTCATGGTCTTGGTCTTGTCTCGTCCACCCTGCCTTGATCTTGTCTCAGAGAACTCTGGTTTCAGGTATGTCTTGATCTCGGTTAGTGTGGTCTTGACTGCATCCGTCCAAACATCCGACTGGTAGTACTGGTTTGCGATGTTAAATGAGCGTATCCTGCAAGCAGGATGTTCCTGATAAAAAGGTTCTTTACAGTCTCATAAAACTTAAATGCAAATAATCAATGCATCAGAACAAACAATCAATAAACAAGCAGTATGCTGCTCGCTCCTCCTCCTGTTTTCCTGCTCAGAACAACAGATAGGAGTCGTGTTTTGAGGCAGACGGCAGCGAGGTCAAGGTCTAATCTGTAATCATTGACAGAGACTCTGACCGGCAGCCTGACCCTCCGCCTCACTAGAAATATAAAACGCTTTACATGGGAATCATGGGAATCACATTTATTAAACACACATTGAACTTTGTGAGACTGTAAATATCATCACACGCCCTGTCCTAAATTCACACGTACAACATCAACACCAAGCCCGGGCCCTCGATGATGAGCTATAACATCAAGTAGTGGATTCAGCTGTCAGTGAATTTTACACAATGATTCGATTAAAGTCTTCACAAGGATTTTTATTTTATTTATTTAACCTTTATTTAACCAGGTTGGTCCCATTGAGATTAAAAACCTCTTTTTCAAGGGAGACCTGGCCGAGACAGGCAGCAGCAAAAACACAAAGTTGCAGACGGAAATACAAAGTGCAATTTACAAAGCACAAAAACCTAGTTAAACATGGTGATATAAACTGCAGGACCTGCATGAATCAAGGTTTGTTGTGGAGAAATGGAGCTTTGTTGCTGCATCTGGGCATGACACAAAACATTTCAACTTTTTGTCACCACCTGTTATGATTTTTCAAGAATCAAAAATCCTAAAGATGTATTTCTTTGGAAAGAGAAGTAAACAAAAGAGAGAGCGAAACAAAGATTGAATAGTGATTCAGGATCCTTGATGAATCTCTTTAAAAATTACGATTTTCAGATATTTCTGTCTCCACTACAACGAAGGTAGATGGTGGAAAGTTGAATTTGGGACAGTATGCATTATGGAGCAGCAGCAGTAACTACATGGTTTTGCCACTGGGAGAGATTTTCTAATACCCTCCTCCCCAATAATCCTCACTACACGCTGTAAACACATCCACACTTAGGTGGGAGAATGAGAATATTTGCCTTTATATCATTATATATATTAACATGAAGGGATCATTTTGATATTTTGTGAGGTGTTCTTAAAGATGTACGTGGTAACCGTCGGGAGTTCAGAGCCACAGACAGATAATCGAACACGAGAATCTGCAGCTTCTCTTATCTGGTATAAATAAACACACAGGCTAAGTGTCTCCTTTAAGCTAACCCTTTGAACCTTAAAGAAAAGGTTGGTATAATTTGAATAATGAAAAACAGCCCGCTGCTGCTTCTTCTCTGCACACATTAGCATCTTTCTCTTTCGCTGTGTTCAATTTCAAAGAGAAACTCGGCGATGACAAAAAAAGAGAGACGAGCTCTTCACATCAGAGAGGAGGGCGACCAAAGAAAAGAGAGAGCGAGCGAGGTCAGAGGTCATCCAGTGAGGATCAAAGCTCGTTTTCAGAACGGATGCAAACACACTTTACAACACAAAGGACTCATTTTAAAGGTTGACAGTATGAGAGAATATTATAATAACTTATTTACATCACGATTCATATATTTTTAAGTTGTTCACTTTTTGTACTTCTGAGCAGACTGGTAGTTTAGTTCTGCATCATATCTGCCAGACAACTACATCTTAGGTAGTAAACAAGACAAAATAAAGTCATTTTAAGGACCTAATGTCTGCTAGATTATTGTTTTAGCTGATTTTTAAGAGCTGTCTCCCCCCCCTCCCTCCTCCTCTCTAGAGTGGATGCTCACTCAGGTCACCATGTGGTGGACTCTGAAGCTTCAGTGTTTCTCCAGCTCTGCATGGGTCTGTAAACCTTTCTGTGTTCTAACCTCTCTCCATTTTTCAAAAGCATCTCCAATATTGATCCTAGTTTGAGCACGTTTCTGCTCGTGGAGCTTATTAGAAACATGCAGAGGCTTTTTAGTCGGGTAAACAACCAGCCACACACACTCAAATTCACACCTATAGACAATTTTAGAGTCAGCAGTTAACCTAACGAGCATGTCTTTGGACTGTGGGAGGAAGCCGGAGTACCCGGAGAGAACCCACACATGCATGAGGAGAACATGCAGACTCCAAACAGAGAGACTCCTGAAGGACGGGGATTCAAACCAGGAACCTCCTCACAGAGAGGGGACAGCGCTAACCACTGCACCACTGACCCCTTAAGTTCTAAACCTCAAATCACCCCTGATCAAAGTCACATATTATGTAAAACAAATGATCACATACAGGATCAGAGTGGATATAGAACAAGAAACATCACACTGGTTGAAGAGGAGAATATTTGACCTTTAAAGTGCTTCACTATAACCGCCATATAACAAAGCACATTAGCATAACGGTTAAATGTGCATGAAATACAAGGTATCATATTAGCAAGTTAAACATCAGTTTGAAACCAAAAGAAAAAGCAAAATGAGGTAAAAAAGGTTTAACCACGACGTCAGGATGTGTGTGCATTATATTACTTTTCTCAACAAACTCTATGAATATTAATATCTGTTTAGAAGATTAAAGTCCTTCTCTCGGTCATGTAACGGAGTAGAGGTTAAAGTAGCAGCACTCAGGTGACGCCTAGACAGATCTGAAGTAAAAAGGTTCTGATGGTTTCTGTCCACGACTGAAAATAATGCCACCGGGAAATTACAATTTTTACATGAAATTATTTAAAATATGTAAATAATCCTTCAAGACTGGAGCTGGTGAGGAGAGACGGGTTAAAGGTGAACTGGTTCAGGTGACCTGAGCCGGTTCAGTTCAGTCAGTCAGCTGAAATCCACCAATCAATACTGCTGATAGAGAGGCGTCTACACACACACACACCACACACACACACACAGACACACACACACACACACACACAGACACACACACACACACACACACACACACACAGACACACACACACACACACACACACACACACACACACACTCACACACACACACACACACACACACACACACACACACACACACACACACACACACACACACACACACACACACACACACACACACATCAGAGATGCTAGAGGAACCATGGAAGCCCAGGAGTCCAAACTAAGATAAAGCAGAAAGTCGCTCTTAAGCTCTTTTCACACATGCACTCCTGAAAATATCGAGATGATTAGACATCACTTCAACGTTTGTCGCGAAATAAATCTGTTATTTTTTAAACTCGCTCTTCATGAAACACTCCCAGATGTGAAAACGGCTATTTCTACATTTCTTTGTCAGAGTGTATAACAGAACAAAGTCTTCCTCCCATGAGAGCAGAAAATACTCTGGTCGGGTTAAAGTACTTAAAGTAACTCGAAGCCATCGATAATAATCCTCATTAATGTTGATGAGCGACAGCTGCTATTTAATCGTAAGCGTGCTTTAAAAGATGATCAATCATTTATCAGAAACTCGTGTTTAAAAAAAAAAAGACCTTA